AGAAAGCATTGTACAACGCCCACAAAATTCAAATTAACAATCAGCCAAAAATATGATACTTTGCTTTTACATATTTAGGTTTCTCAGGGACCAGAAAAGGAGGGGGTGGTATGTGTTCAGTTTCCTCCTTGGTAAAATAAAGCTTGGGAAAGTGACTTGATTATAACGATGATGATTCTATGATGATGATGATAACTTCAGACAGTCAGGCCACATGGCAAGCTATTTAAGTTCCACTTGTATATTTTCCAGGTTACATATATTTATTTATTTTAAATCATCTCGTCTGACTCAAGAGAAAGTCAGCTATGTCGATGCAGGTCACTGTGACACGAAATTCACAAACAGGAACCATAGGACATGAAGAGTACAGCCTGTATAGCAGCATGAGTGAAGACGAACTCGTTCAGATGGCCATACAGCAAAGTCTGACAGAAGATGCTTCAGAGCAGATAGCTGCACAGAAGACCACCACAGCACCACCCAGTGAACCTTACTGCCAAAATTTTTACCTTTATCCTTGGCAAAGGTAAGCAAGCTAGCAAAATGAAACAAAACAAAACCCAAAACCCAAACAAAATAAAATGTAGTAATTTCACACTGTCACCCTAATCCTAAACAAAAGTATGCACTTTTGTGTTTTTGGACTGTGATTCCTCCACTTCTCTAAGAATTCCAGGAACTGCTGGCCACAGAATCAAATCTGCACATCTGTAGGCTTTGCCCAGCCCTGAAAATTGCTTTTTGAGTTATTTAGTTTCACCATTCACCCATCCAATCTTTGATTCCTCTGCTTCCTCTGAGGAAAGAAAGATCCTGTGGTGCTTCCTTTCTGCCCATTAGGCTCCACAGAAAGCACCTCCCAAAGAACTATGACTCTCAGGAAGCATCACAGCAGCTTTTTTTCTTTCATTCATTTTTACAAATAAATTACAGGAAACAAAGGTCAGAGAATATAACGATGTTGGTAAATAACTCGAGATGCCTGGTGGGTTGGCACTTAGAGGTGCAAATTTGAGTTTGTGGGCTGCAATATTCTTGAAGAATTCTGTGAACTACGGTCCAAAAAAGAAAGAGCATAACCATAGCCACAAACCTTTTCTTAATTTTCTTGAAGCATCGTTCTAACTATTCTGGCATAAAGGGATAATGTACGAAGTTTGACAACAGGTGTTTACTGTGGTTCTTCTTCATGATCTTTGGTGTATTCACACACATGGGTTACCATGCATGCGGAAAACACTGTCAGAATGTTCTAGAGCCTCTAGCCCAAATAATTATTTCCCTTTTGTACCTCATGTGCATACCCAGCCCCTTTCCCTCAGTCTGTTTCTGTTCACTGTGGCAACAACACCTCAGAACTCTAGAGTTTGGTATTAATTTTTTATACAAAGCCCAAATATATACTTCTTGTTTTCAGTCTACTTACTTTTCTCCATTTTTGTTATCATCTGAGGAAAAAAAGTATTTTGTCATCATTACAGACTTTACCTCAGATTTTTCGAAATCTACTTCTTTAGATCAAAATCGGCCAAATAACTCTTTGGCAAAAAAAAGTCAACAATGCAAGAAAGGGGACCTTCAACATCAAAATTGACTTCAGCATCTTCAAAACTGAAGGACTCTGCTCAACAGAAAAAGAACAAACATGTTGGAATTGGCTTCAGAAAAGGCTATAAAGAAAGAAAAGTAGTGGTTTGCACTTCTGCAGAACAATCCCATGGATATGCAGAGAAGGTGGTTCGTACAGGACCTGTTTCTGAAGGAGAGTTAAGGAGTGAGTGTCCTCATAGTACATCTACGATAACATATGACATTGGAACCAATAATATGATTTGTTTATTCATTTATTACATTTATATCCCAGCCATCTAATGGCAAGCAAAGCAAAAAAAGCAAAATGTGCTGCTTATATATTGCCCCATAGTGCTTAAAGCACTCTCTGGGCGGTTTGCAAGTTAATTATGCAGGCTACACATTGCCCCCCCAGCGACCTGGGTACTCATTTTACTGACCTCGGAAGGATAGAAGGCTGAGTCAACCTTGAGCCGGCTACCTGGGATTGAACCTCAGGTCATGAGCACAGTTTTGGCTGCAATACAGCGGTTTAACCACTGCGCCACGAGGCTCTCATTGTAGAGGCAAGCCACTACAATGGGAGTACTCAAAGTTTCAATGCTTCTGAGAAAATCAGAGTGTCACCTCTTAGATCAAGATTCGGCTCAGGATATCCAATACTATGTACTCAAGGGGCTTCAGTATTGAAATCTGATATGCAGCGCCTCAATATACAGCATCTATGCATGGTCCAAACACTGACCATATGGCAGCATAATTCCTGCTCCAGATCAAAATCAATAGCCTCTTGATATTTTCATTAAATCATGTTCAAGGTCTAAGTCAAAAGCATCTGTTTGTCAATATCATTAATCCCAATCTCCATCTCTGGATCCTTGGTATCAGCAATATAAACCTTTTCCAGCACCACATTATTGTATTCCTCTTTCCATGGGCTGGCCCTCGCCAATGCCATTTCAGTGTTAACATAGACAAACTTCACCATCCTGGTCTTCAAGATTTCCTGTTGTCTTTACTTCTAGACATCATGGAAAAGTTCAACATCATGATAGACAATATTAAACTTCTCAAGACAATGAATCTGACTAGTAACACGGTAAATCATCTCACTCTCATGATTTCTCAGAACTGACTATGGCATCAACTCGTTCAACAGAGAATGATCCAACAGCTATGGAGAATACTGCTTGTCTGTTCATTCATAGGATGCATTGAGTCTGGGATTGATTCAGAGTAATTCAGCTTTTAATATTTCTGTTCATATGAATTTCCCACCTCCACCAGACTTTGCTTTCCAGGAATCTCTGTGTGCTGCTTCGGCACTGATGATATTTCTCAACCTGTTGGTTTATTCACTGAATTCCAATGTGGGGGGATATCTACAATTATGAGGATGGCAAAATCTCCCAGATTCCCAGTGAAGAAGCCATACATGCACACACATAAATCAACGACTTGGTTTTCAATCAAGTAATCAAGTATTGCTTTACAGCTATCTATATTACCTACCTTGACATATCTTATTACTTAGTCATGGCAGAAGCTACCTCCCTTACCTTAAACTTCAAGATGCATTGAGAACCTACCATGTTTTCCCAAAAATAAGACAGGGTCTTATATTAATTTTTGCTCCAAAAAAGTAGTAGGGCTTATTTTCAGGGCTTGTTTTATTTTTTTCATGTACAACAATCTACGCTTATTTATTTATTTTATTTTTATTTATTTATTGCATTTATATGCCGCCCATCTAGACATAGTCTACTCTACGCCCATCTAGACATAGTCTACTCTACTCTACAATCTACGCTTATTCAAATACAGTCATGTCATCTTCTGGTTGCTGCACAGTGGTGGAGGGTGGGGTTTCACTTCACTGGGGCTTATTTTTGGGGTAGGGCTTATATGACAAGCATCCAGCTTATTTTCAGGGAAACAGATTATACTGAGGACAAGAAGACAGAATCTATATCGTATTCAAGCATCCTTCCCCAAAGTTAATGACTGTGGAAACTTCACAAATATAGATAAGAAGTAGATTTTCTACAAACCCAGCAAATAGCTATAAGGGCATGTTAGGGATTTGAATTTCTAATTACCAGGCAGCTATGCAATGTATTTGGGAAAAATTCAAACCTTTCATAACCTGTCTGCTGGAAGATAAAATATCTCTTCCAACTTCCTTTCAGTGAGAACCATACTCTTCAGCAATCCATCAAATTCATTCTGCCAGATACACTGTTGACTGTTCAGCAAAAAACATGGCAGTATCAATAACATTCCACAGACATGCTTGGTTAAGGCCAACTGGAATTTCAGAAGATTCCAGGCCCAGGATTGAGGATCTCCCCTTTGATGGGGAAAGTCTTCTCAGTTGTAAGACAGATGAAATAATGGAAGACTTGTTGGAAAAAAAAAAGAAAACTGCAAAGCACATGGGAATCAATAACTAATGACAATACAGTCACAGGAAGTTTGAACAAAATTGGAAGAGGTATATTCCTTACAATAGGAACAAGTTACCATCTGAGAAATCAAAAGGCAAAGCTCAGCTCTCTTCTCAAAGATACAAATAACAATCCAGTTACATGAAGTACACATTATCTTCATCAGCAAAAAAGGAAAAAAGAACAAAAAAGTAAATAACACCTTTCACTCTTCTGACACCAAAACTGATACTCACTATTAACATTCCCATCTTTCGACAACAGCAATGGATCTTTAGCACCTCACATGAACACATGGGGCATAATTATCTCCAATAGTCATCCATGGTTATGTCATCAAATTCCATAGACTCCTTCCTATGGGGCCCCGCTGTATCACCACTCAGTCTCAGGTTCTAGAAGAAGAAATAACAGTGTTAATCAATGTAATACATCCAGTGCATCTAATACAAGCAAAAGACAACTATCATTCCCATTGTTTCACAGTACCAAAGAAAGATAGAGGTTTTTGCCCAATCTTGGATTTAAGAGGAGTCAACAAGTGAATCAATTTTTAAAATTCCAGTTGGAGACCCAAGCTATTGTCCTTCCCTTGCTGAAAGACGGGATCTGGTTCACATTGATAGATTTGAAGGATAGGATACATACTTCCATATGTCCATAAAACAGGATCATCTGTGCTCCCTCTGCTTTGCAGTGGGAAGCAAAATACAGTGGTGCCTCGACTTACAAACTTAATTGGTTCCGGAACTCCAGTCATAACTCGAAATGGCTGTAAGTCGAAGCATCATTTCCCATAGGAATGCATTGAAATGCAATTAATCTGTTTCAGCCGGGGGGGGGAATCACATTGAAATGCAATTAATCTGTTTCGGCCGGGAAAAAATCCCAAAAAACATATAAATAAATCACTGCAAGACCCATCGGAAACACGATTAATCCCTTCCAGATGAAGGGAGTGAAGAAAAATAAGCGAAGCATGCAAGATCCATCAGAAATGCAAAGAAAGCAAAGCAGAAAGCAAGCAGAGTGTGCAAGACCCATAGGAAATGCAAAGAAAGCAAAGCAAAAAGCAAGCAGATCGTGCAAGACCTATTGGAAATGGAGGGGACCAAAAAGCAAGCAACCCCCCAAGACCCATCAGAAATGGGAGGAAGCCTCAAAAGCAAGCAAACCCCCCAAGACCCATCGCAAATGGGAAAAAAACCCAAAAAACAAGCAAAACCCCCAAGACCCATCACAGCACAGAAACATAATGCCCCCAGCCCAAAATCATGCTGCAAAACCCACCCAGAACAGTTTTTAAAAAGCAGAAAGCAGCACCTTACCAGGCAGTCCCAAGCCTCCTCTGATCACACTCTCTCTAACTGTTGGGGTGAAAGAGCTACAAAGAGGCTGCCTCTTCACCTAAGCAGCCTCTTCACCTACAAATGGTTAGCAATCTGAATTCCCCACTTTTTCCCCCTGCCTTTTTCTATTTGTAACTGGAAGGTCCGGCTGCAAGTCGAAGCAAAATTTTGTGGCTGGAGCTGGTCATAATTCGAAATGGTTGTTGAAGTCAGGACGTTCGTAAGTCGAAGCACCACTGTACTTAAAGTCAAAGCCCTTCAGTCTGCCTACTACCCTTACAGTTTTCATAATGTGTATGGCTCCTGTAGCAACCTTTATATTTGAGGAATCATCACCTTTCCTTATATCAAGGAAATATGACTGGCTACTGGTAGCAGACAGTCAAGATACTCTTCAGAAGAATGTTCAATTTACACTATTTCTGTTGTTCAATGTCAGTCTTTGGGTCAATTGGGAAAAATCTCTTCTGCTTCCGTCCCAAAAACAACAATACATAGGAGCGATTTTGGTGTCAATCAATGCAGCAGCATCCCAACCTCAACAGACCATGGTAAAAATTGTCACTCAAGCATCAGAAATAAGTACCAAAAAGGTCTACTTCAATATTCTTACTTCAAATGTCCCTGGGTCTTATGGCTTCTACAACAGACGTGGTTCATTATGCGAGACTCAAGGTGACATCTCTGCAGTCAGACAAGATACCAGAAAGTAACAATATCTATGGAATTGGCCAATCAGCTAACATGGTGGAGAAAGGCGGAAAATTTAACAATAGGAATCCCCTTCAAGCAATGCAGTCCACATTCTTATGACAACAGATGCAAGTACTACAGGTTGGGAAGCCCACTGTATGGCCAAAACTATTCATGCCATTTGGTTTCTAATCAATAAGAGAAAATGCTTAAATTATCTAGAACCTCTGGCAATCTTCAGAGCATTGTACTTTTTCTGACGGCCAGCACTGACTAAATCGCATCAGACAACATGACAGCAATGTACTGCATGAACAAGAAGGGAGGAGCTCACTCAATGTTTCTCCTGTTGTTAACCACAGAATTCTGGAAGAGGTGCATTTTGCAACATACCTAGCCAGTAACGATTCATGTAAGTGGGGATAGCAATCAAAATGCAGATTGAGAGAAGGAGGCTGGGCATCGTACAATGTACCAGAGAAGGATAATTCTTTGACCCAAGGGCTCTGAAACATTCTGATGATGGTTCATATGTGTTAACCCATATGTGTGAATACTTCAAGAACCACAGTTAGAGATGATTAACTTGCCCTTCTTTTTCTGAGCCAATATAATTCTGTGGCCCTGACTAGCAGTGTCAGCCCTCCCCCTCAGGTACAGGGAGGTAGCTGCCTCAGGCAGCTTATTCTGGGCGACATGAAAAGACAGCAGGCATTTATTACCATGGAGTTTTATTGTCAAGGATTGATGATTTTAAGACTGGGCAGTCTGGCCCTCATTAGCAAGGGAATGAAGATTGCCTAGGAATGAATTTGTGTTCTTCTATTGCTATGAATTCCTTGCAGTAATGGAACAACAGAAATGTTATTTGAAAAAGTCAGATTTAGGGTTTAAACACAGACATCTTAATTCAGAGATCAGCTGCAGTTGTCGTTGTTTAGTCGTTCAGTCGTGTCCGACTCTTCGTGACCCCATGGACCAGAGCACACCAGGCTCTCCTATCTTCCACTGCCTCCCGGAGTTGTGTCAAATTCATTCTGGTAGCTTTGATGACATTGTCCAACCATCTCATCCTCTCTCGTCCCCTTTTCCTCTTGCCTTCACACTTTCCTAACATCAAGGTCTTTTCCAAGGAGTCCTCTGTCAGCTACAGTACCTGTCCCCAAATTACGATTTAAAACGTCTGGTTATTAATATATGACAATAAATATGCTGCAGCCAAGCAACACAAGGTCTTTTCCAAGGAGTCTTCTCTCAACTACAGTACCTGTTCCCAAATTACAATTTAAAACGTTTGGTTATTAATATTTGACAATAAATATGCTGCAGCCAAGCAACGTGTCATGTTCATTGGAAAAGCAGTTTTATTTTGAAGGGCAAGCAGCAATTTGGGTCCCCCCTCCAACCTGAGAACCTTGTTCTGAAGCATGATCCAAAGCACAGATGTGCTTAGCTGCTTTTCCTCCAAAATAAAAAGTAGCCACCTTGAGCCACACCTTTAGAAAAGCATGTTTAGCATAATACATAGTTTGACAGTGGTGTGGACTTCAAAAATTATTTAAAAATGTATTCATGTCTCCCATAGCCAGTCTTCTACCCATTCATTCCTAGTTACGTACTTTGTTTGACATTGTGGTAAGATGCAATTGCTCTCTGCTGTCGCTTGTGCCAAGTAAAACAAACATTTGGTCAGAATCCTGTGTAGCTTTAGGTGAGACAACAGGAATTATTTGGTTTATGTGTGTGAGAGACTGCAAGAGAGAGAGAGAGAGAGAGAGTTTTTAAAAGTTACTTTGGAGAACAGTTTTCCCACATGTGCATCTGAACACACATGGGTCAGTTTCACCTAGAATGATTACACACATCTGTTTCTGCTGCATTGGATACAACTCTGGCAACCGTTATCCACCTGGTCTGAGCCATTTCTAAAACAAGGTCCTTCTGCACTATTGGCCCTTATTTTGACTTGTCCAGTCCTCTGAGGAAAGGTTATGTTTATGTGCCGTTCAATTGTGCTATTAGGTTACAAACTGTTTTCCATTACTTTGGGTCACAGGAGCAGTTGCATGGATATATAAAGTCTCCCTATGGGGAAATCTGAGCAGAATGAGCTTGATTAGTTTAGTTGTTCAAGCAATATACTGTGATATACACATTGAAAATACTGTGACCTAAGATATGTGGCAAAGCTATTTTCAGTGCAGTAAACAAAGCTAGAAATAGAGGCAAATCACGGATAAAGGGTTTAAACTAGGACCACATTTGTTTAAGCCTAGCATGGCCTCACAATTCTCAGCACATGAATCAGACCAGACCCCAAGGTAATCTGTAACCTGCCCATGATCCTACAGCCTTTAGCAGCAAGTCTCAGAAATTGCCAATTACCACAAAATTACCTCAGGGTACTATGCAAACATAGTAATTCCTGCACATCCCTGTTAGATGTGTCCAATTAACCTAATGAACAATTCACCTCTATGTTACATGTTCCTTTTTGCTCAGTGCAGGGTATATGGAAAATCCTTGCATATTAGGCCAGGAAAATTTGTAAAGAAGAAAGGTTGAAATTCTACGTAGCCCTTGAAGAAAATTAGCTTACCCTTCCTGTTAACACCAGAATGGGCTGAGGTACATTTCAGGACCACAATGGCCAATCCCCATCTGGCCTTCTCCTTGGTTGCAGGCAACCCTTTCAAAACAAATTGTGCTACTACATATAAATTTTATTCTAGTCTCTTAAGAACTTTAAAGCAACATACTGACATTTGATTGCATTTATATAGTTTATTTTATTTTATTTTTATGTCCCCTTTCCTTCCATAGGCGGCTCAAAACAGATAAAACTATAAAACAAACAACAGTGTTAAAATATAAATATTATATTAAAAATGAACATATATAAAGATTAAAAACCCAAATTAAAAACTGAGATTTAACTTTTAAGAAAAATATCAAGAGACCAATTATAAATCTTCTGTCCTAATGTTAGGTGGAGGGTGTACAGAACTGCCTTCCGTTATTTCTATCTGTAGTTATTTTTCAGGGGCTGGATCTTTTAATTCTTCTTCAATCCACAGCCACTCCTGTTGTCTCATATGGTGTCACTTCTACTCAAGTTACAAAACATAATTGTGTTAGGTAAACCTCCCAGAACAGTACTGTGCACTAATGAGGCAGTATAGAAGTCCAATAAATAAATAAATAAATAAATAAATAAATAAATAAATAAATAAATAAATAAATAAATAAATAAATAAATAAATAAATAAATGGCTGCTGTTTTGTTTCCTAACCACCACCAACCACGACACTGAGCTTTGTTTTCACGACACATTACTATGTATTAACCCTGAAGCAGAAAGATGAGTTCTGCTCATTGTACCATATTTTTTCGTGTATACGACATCCCAGTGTATAAGATGACCCCCAATGTTGACCCCGCAAAGGGCTGCCCAGAGCAGCTCCTCCTCCCCCTCTTGCTGCTGCTGCCGCCCAATCATCCAGCGCCAGTGCCGGGGTTCACCTCCAGCTCATGTCACCACTTTGTCCCCTGCCCGAAGGGAGCCCACGAGTGGCTCTGGAGGAGGCAATCTGGCGGTGGCAGCAGCAGTAAATGGGCACGGAAGGAGTGGGAGGCGAAGAAGCAGCCACGCTCAGCCGCCTCTCACGGCTGCTTCTTCGCCTCCCCCTCCTTCCATGTATAAAGTGACCTTCAATTTTTCCTCTAATGATTTTAGGGAAAAGTGTCGTTTTATACATGGAAAAAAATACGGTAAGTTTAGAAGCCTCTTCATCCCCCTTAAATTGTCCTGATGTCTTGATTCGCAAAAAAAAAATTGGAATATATTCTAAAGACGTTGCAATGAAAAGAAAGATCCACCAGGTGTTCCTTGTTCCATTACCTTGAAACCATGGTGGAAAAGCTGAAACTGGTGATATTCCGTGTTCAGTGCATGTCAAAAAGAAACTTGTCATCTTAGGTATTGACACAGCAGCTCTTCTGTTTTCCTCTTGGCATGGTTCAGAAGAGTTCTCTCAACATCTCCCCCCCCCCAACTGTTTCACCGTGCAATTCTCAAGCTTTTCTTCTCCCTGAGGTAGAGAAAGCGTGCACAACCTTCTCTCTGCCTGCTGTGGGATTGTGGCATTAATCTCCCTGTTGGCTTATATGGTCATTTGAATCTTTTGACACTTCCTCTGTGGGCCAAAAATAATCTAGAGTGTGAGAGCAGCTGAGACCCGGGCCAGAGCAAGCTGAAGCCATCTGCTTTTGTTTTAAGTCCCAGAAGGAACACTATAGGTTTTTCCCCACATCTCTCCTTTCAGTGCCTTTTTGGAGTCTCTCTTTGAAAAGGTCCTAATATGACTTGCTTTTCTTACTCAGAGTATTTTTCACTCTTTCATTCTTGCCATTATAACTTAAGACGCGCTACACAATCCGGAGGCCAGACTGAAGCATCCAGTTCAGGGGGCAGACGAAGGTACAATGGCATGTTCCTCAGCTCATCCCAACCTGCGTAAGTTCATCCTCTCTAATTTCTTGTTAAAGACAGCATTATTGTTGTTGGTGCGCATGCCTTGATTATGTGGCTACTGGGGTGTGTGTGGCATGATGCACATCATTAGAAATTTGCATAACTGGGTAAGGGAATCTCTACAAAATTGCTCCGTTCCCTCTCATTGTTTGGCCATCTTCTTTTGATTAGCTATTTCACCTGCCTCTAGGCCTCTTAATCTTTAACTTCCAGTAAGTATCTGGAATATGGTGCAGGACACTCCACTGCACTGAAGTGAATGTAACTTGAAACAGGATGTGAGACAGGATGCTTGCCTAATACTGATCTATTTAGTCTGATCTCCTCCCCTGTCAAAAACTGTAAAACATATTTTTTAGGTATGTTGCCGTAAAATCCATATTTCTTTCATAGAAAATTGGGAGAAGCAATGCATTAAAGACCAATAAAATGGTGAATTGGGGAAAAGGATGTCGAGATTCCTGGGTTTAGTGGGGAAAGGGTAGGTTTGTTTGGGCCTCTCTCAGTCTACAGAATTACAGTGACATAATACACAAAGTGTGAAATGTGAAATAATTTCCACTTGGTATGTGGCAAATCTGTTAAAGATGCTCAACATACATACATTTGGAAAAAGCACCACTATTTCACTTTTTCTACTGCAGTTATTATGTGCTGCTCTGAGATCAATGTCTGTGCAGCTGGCCAAAACTTGCTTTCATAGTTTTCTTTGGTGTCAACTAAAAACAAAAACAAACAACCCACTGTAAGAGGGCAAGAGAAGATTTTGGATGAACAGTGGCTCAAAATAGGCAAGTATCTGAAGCTACCATGGCCTCGTCTGGCTCAGATATAACTTGAAGCCATTGTTTGGCACTATACAGATTTGGTAACTTCTAAAGTTACCTATTATTTTGCTGAGAAAATCCGTTTCCCTTTCTAAGTGCTGTGAGGATTCTAGAGGATAACAGGGAAGTCTGAGGGGAATGGCAGATGATATCATTTTGCTTACTAATCAAAACAAACTGTTGCTATCCCTTGACCAGTCTGATCTGATTGGTTCATGTTTAACAGAAGAACTGAAAGACGACCATTACATCCAGGTCAGCAAACTATGGTTTGAAGTTGTTCTCTTAAAAAAAGGAAACAAAGTTTGTTTAGAGGTTTGACAGCAACACTAGGTTTCATACAGATAGCAGGTTCTCTGTTGACTCTTTGGGCCAAGAATGAATTACATCAAAACTTTTTACTGTAGTGGTGAATAAATGAAAGCAGATGAGAACAAAATGATGTTTCACGATAAATTGAAATATTGATTTTGATGAGTGATAATCAAAACAGTGATGGCAGAGGCAGAGAACAAATGAGTTTAGCTTTTAACAGGCAAGTGAATTATGAGCAACCTGATCCTAAGAATGTTTGCTTAGAACTGAGCTCCATATTGATAATTCCTAAATAAGTGCGTATAGGAAAGGATTTGAGTTCAACTTATTTGTTTTTATAGGACTGCAGCCATGACTTACCCTGGTTTTCTTCTACCTTACCACTTACCGCTATGATCTTTTCCATGAGTTTGCTGCCATTTCCTTGCTTTACATGCATATTATATACTAATGTCTGTGGTCTAAAGATTACAATAATAATTGTATTCTTCAATTAAGCAACGCAGGGTTGGCTAGACAGCTCAACTGGAGTGGACTAAAATGGACTTAAAGTCATGCAGAAATCCAGTATGCCATTTGGTATGACCCTTGCATCCGTATGGCATACAAACTTCAAGTGAACCTATTTGGCCCACTTCCCTTAAGAAAAGAAAGAAAACAAAACAAACAAATAAACAAACAAAGTCCTTTCCCCCATCCTGTTTCCTCCTCCTTCTGGGAGGAAGACTTTCATTTATTATTCTTTTTTCTGAAAGGTATAGCATATCAATGCTGCTCTAATAAACTTTAAAAAAACATTGAGTTTTAAATGACGTAACGAATTTGCAGATTCAGTTGATTAATAGTTTGTTGTTATCCTGTATATATGATTTTTTGTGTATATCAATAAAGAATCTGCGTGAGTGAGTTTTTAATTTCTAGATACCATTTAGTGTCTAAGCTTAACAATATTGGGACACTGAAACTGCATGGGAACTTTAAAGCAGCAAGCTCTGCTTTGGTATGATTCCTGAGATAGTACATGCTAGAAATGAACCAAAATGGGGCAATCCTGCCTGCATCTTAAAAAGAGTAGCTCCTGACATGGACCCGGAAAGGTATCATTAGGAATGTTCTGCGGATGGGCTAGTTGGTGCTGACATTTACATTGTCTGTTCACTGGCAAAAGAAGCAAACCAGCCCATCCCCAGCGTGGACCAAACAGTGGGACAAAGGCCCATGTAATGAGCAGTCTGTTTAGGAGTGCCCTAGAAAAAAACAAAATTGACTATTGCAGTTTCCTACAGTCTGTACAACCTTTCCTCTATGGCAGGGAATTCTAAATTCAAGGCTGTTTTGCTGCTTATCAGGTGAAGACATTTCCCCACCATAGAAAGCTTTCCTGTACAGGTTCTTTAATTCCCTGTTTTATCTCAAATGCTAGAATAATTGCTGATTTATTTAGGTTTTTGTTTGGTTCAGGTAGGACTTGGAGATCAATTGTTAAGAAGTATCTGTAAGTGACGACTCATCCTCCAGTCAAAAAATAGCCACCACTCCAGTTCTCAAAAGGGAGCTGGACCATTGGAGTGATATTGCACTGCAGATTGCACACAGAATGCTTTCAGATACTGTGTGATGTCATGTAACCACCCTTCCACCCAGCTGATAAGTGCCCATGTGCACTATCCAGTGTATTTCTCTACACTTCCCATGCCTGTGAACTTTCTCTTTCTGTGCCTTTTCTACACCTCTGTACCACACATCCACACTCACCCCCTGCTCCCCAGAATGTGTGTGATCTAGCTGCAGTGGAGGCTTTTTACCAGTCAGTGCAAAGAGAGCAAGTGGAATAAGTGTTCACCTTTGTAACCCACTCTGCCTGAACAACATAATCAAATGCATTTTCTATCCACCATCTTCCTGGTACCATGAGCATCTTGGTCATTGTCTTGCCTCGTGTTCTGTTAGAGCTAGAGAACATGGGAAATCACACTGCCGTGGAAAAAAACAGCTAAAGAGCATGGGAGATCACACTGTAGTGAAAAAAGTTTTCACAATGATTGTGGCGATCGCCTATGTCACTCATGCTGTTCATATTCATGAGCTGGTTTGCATTAAGTTATGAGAGGACTAGATAGGCGGAGCCAGCAGCTACATGAGGCTTGGCGGGAGAAGGAGGAGTCAGAGATTGGGATGAGATGCAGATAGAGATAGGGCTGGTGAGTCAGAGAGAGAGAGGGAACAGACACTGAGAGAGATAGAGCTGATTAGGAAAATAGGTAGAGAAGGTGGTAATGATATAGCAAGAGAAAACAAGTATGTAGTGAGAGGACTGTAGATTATTTGCTTATGTGTATCTGAAAAAATTCTATTATTATTAAATCTGCTTCATTACAATAAATAAGTTCTGTTTCTGTTCACAAGACAAGTGTTCTGATATACGTGAGCCTTTGTGAGGGAAAGACAAGCAGGGGCCACGAAAGCAAATGCCACAATAATGTCACATATGACAAAGCAAAGTAAAGCATGTTGCTTATACTGTATACCATGCTCCCCTGAAAATAAGACAGGGTATTATATTAATTTTTTGCTCCAAAAAACGCATTAGGGCTTATTTTCAGGGGATGTTTTATTTTTTTCATGCACAACCATCTACATTTATTCGAATACAGTCATGTCATCTTCTTCTGGTTGCTACACAGTGGTGGAAGGCAGGGTTTCACTTAACTGGAGCTTATTTTTGGGGTAGGGCTTACATTATGAGCATCCTGAAAAATCATACTAGGGCTTATATTTAGGTTAGATCTTATTTTTGGGGAAACAGGGTACTGCCTTGCAGCATTTAAAGCCCTAGGTGGTTTATAAGATAATTGTGCAAGCTACATATTGCTCACTATGACCATCAAGCTGGATACTTAATTTACTGAACTCAGAAGGATGGAAGGCTGAGTCAGCCTTGATCCAGCTACCTAAGTAGGAAGGCTGAGTCAACCTTGATCCAGCTACCTAAGTCTGTCAGGATCAAACTCAGTTTGTGAGAAAAGTCTTGGTTGCCGTTTAAACACTGCATCTCAAAACACATTCAATGGTATATGAAGATTCACTGCAGAATGAAAACCAAACATAGAGAGGCAGGCTCTGGCAAAATGATTGTTCTTTTTACTTTTATTGTGGGACAGAAAAAAAACTCAGCAGTTCACAGTTTGGTGCGAATATTACTTTGGGACAGGGTGTACATCACTTGTACTGCTCAGCCACAAATAAATAATCCCTATTTAATATAACATCAGGAAAAGTGCTATATCCCAGTGTGGCTTTTTTCACTATTATGTTGCTTATATACTGTACCATCACAGGCAATTTTGCAAAAACTGACTAGGTTTTCAAATTTTGTTTTAAAGAGTGGAAGATCCTCTGATCTCAGCTATCAGGAAAGGCGATGAAAAGGCACTGCACAATATGATGCAGTCAGGAAAAAACCTTGCACAACCTAATAAAGATGGATGGTTGCCCCTCCATGAAGCTGCTTACTATGGACAAGAGGGCTGCTTGAAACTGCTGCAAAAATGCAAGTATCAGAAAGCAAATGGATGACAGGTGGGATGAAAACACAAAGCCTTCACAGGAGTAATTTCTTAGGTTTTATTCTACACTGAAATGTTCATGCTTACTTATTCAATCTGTTTTTCCAAGTACAAACCACACTCTTGAGTTGCATGCTTATAACCTTCCCCCTTTCTGAGGATCATAGAATTGTAGATTTGTAAATTTAGCAGACATCCCAGGGGTTATCTAGCTCAACTCCCTGCTGATAGAGGAATACACAGCTAAAAACATCCATGATAGACAGTCATTGAACTTCTGTTCAAAAACTTCCAGTATTTTCTAAGGCAGTCTGTTCAAAAAGCTACTATCCATCAAAGGTTCTTCCTAAGGTTAGTCAGAATCTCCTTTCTGGTAATTTGAACCAATTAGCTTAGCCAAGTTAAAGACTTTTAGTTGTTCACAACTATTTTTTCCACCATATATTCTGGTATATCACTTGGTATGTAATGAAGGGTAAGCAATATCAAACTATTGTGGATAACAATTCTTGTGGCTGTTTCATAGGTACCCTATTTGCCGGCGTGTAAGACGACTTTTTGGCCCAAAAAACATGCCTCCAAGTGGGAGGGGGTCATCTTATACGCCGGGTGCACTTCAGTTGGGCCAGGAATGAGCCACCACCACCGCCATTGAGTGAGTGATGCGGGGCCGCGCCGGCTGGGGAGGAAGGCAGGCGGGCAGGCAGGCAGGCGGTCGGTCCGGATGGAGGGAAGGAAGCAGAGCCAGCCATGCCTGAGTAGCCAGAGTCCGCCGCCAGGCTGCCCGCTGCCCTGTGCCACTGAGCCAGCTGCCTGCCTGCCCGTCGCCGGAGAGCCGCTTCCCCTCCTCCTTCTCCTTCTCTGCTGCCGCTGCCCACCCGGCCACTTCCCCTCCTCCTCGCCCTCCATGCCGCTGAGCCAGCTGCCTGCTTGCCCACCTGCCACCGGAGAGCTGCTTCCTCTCCTCCTCCTCCGCTGCCGCCAGCCGCTTCCCCTCCTCCTTGCCCTCCTTCCAGGGCAGTCCCGGGCAGAGCCCCAGGCAGCCGGCGCTGGCGCCGCAGCAGAGCCGTCCACTCTATATTTTGAGTGGAAATATCGGGGGGGTCGTCTTATATGCCCAGTTGTCTTGTATGCCGGCAAATACGGTAGGTTTGAAGCACCTCATGTTTTAATATATTCGCGAAGGCTTTCACGGCCGGGATCTAATGGTTGTTGTGGGTTTTTCGGGTTTTTTGGCCGTTTTCTGAAGGTTGTTCTTCCTAACGTTTCGCCAGTCTCTGTGGCCAGCATCTTCAGAGGACAGCACTCATGTTTCATTCTGATGATTTTTTTTTGTTTTGGTTTGTTTTGAGGAGCACAAATCTAACTGTTCCTTGGCCAAAATAACACACTCTGGAAAAGCCAGGTGGAATCCATGTAGCAATTACTGCAACCTTCATAAGTTGCCTTTAAGAGGTTTTGGCCGGGGGGGGGACCTCTTTGGGGTGCAGTGATTGTCAATCAATCCAGCAGTAACCAATTGTTCCCTCCCTGCTTCAGATTTTGAAGAGACTCATGCCTCTTTACTCAAGAGCTCTTTTCTCACTCTTAGTTGGAGTCAGTCTCTATGCAATCATGTATTCAGCAAGTGAGTCACATAGTGAGTCAGCCATGAAGCTTGTTAATCAGTTAAGCTCTGTCCATGTAACCATTTTTTCTACTCTATGCTTGGTTAGTTAGAGGTTTTTCAGCCACAAAAGTTCACATTCTGCAAAGAATCCGCAGGGACTCCTTTACGCCAAGCCCTGAGTTGGCAATGGGGCCGAGAGGAGGGCCTCCTTTGATGATCTTAAATGCTCATATGGCAACAGTAGTGGGAGAAAACCCTTGGACACCCCCAGTGGTTACATTTTGCCCACCCCTGCTTTAGTGTCTGGATTGCACGTGATAGCTAAGGATGATGAGGGATCCAGAAAACTAAGTTGCCCAAAGATAGAAGAAAATCAGTGTTTTTCCTGCAAAAATACATGAAAAATGCAAAAATGTAGAGGAAGTGTACTCAGAAACAGGATGCTTTGGGTCACATACAAATGGGACTGTGTAACAAATAATTGCCATAAGTTATACAGTATACTGAAATGACTGATGCTGTAACTATTCAAGTGCATGATATATATTGTTAAATACTAATGTCTTCTCAATAGCTTATCCTGGGACAATTGATCATCGTACACTTCAAGAGGAAACAGCACTGTACTTGGCAACCAACAGAGGGAACATAGATTGTGTGCGTTCATTGCTACAGGCTGGAGCAGAACCTGATATTGCAAACAAATCTAGGGAGACCCCACTTTATAAAGGCACGTAACCTTATTCCCATAGGTTTTGTTGACACAAATAAGCTACTTGCTTGAATGTAACCAGAAAATGGGAGTGCAAAAAGTTGTTATATACTGTATATAGGTAAAGGTAAAGGTTCCCCTTGACAATTTTTGTCCAGTCATGTTTGACTCTAGGGGGCGGTGCTCATCCCCGTTTCCAAGCCATAGAGCCAGCATTTGTCCAAAGACAATCTTCCGTGGTCACATGGCCAGTGCCACTAGACACAGAACGCTGTTACCTTCCCATCAAGGTGGTCCCTATTTATCTACTCACATTTGCATGCTTTCGAGCCGCTAGGTTGGCGGGAGCTGGGACAAGCGACGGGCACTCACTCCATCGTGCGGATTCGATCTTACAGCTGAAGATCTACAGACCTTACAGCACAGAGGCTTCTGCGGTTTAACCCGCAGCGCCACCGCATCCCTATGCTATATATACTGAGCTTCTGTTCTTCATTGGGGACATCCTTTGATTTGGCAATTCTCCCCGTTTCAAATGCCGTTTATGTAGGGATGTAGGATACACTTATTACATTTTTAAAAATTCAGATTGGCACAGAAACAAAATAGCATGAACTGAAGAACAGCAAAAATTGAAAAATGAGATAAACCAGAATTGACAGGTTCACTACCTCTGACTTATTCAAAACTTGAGCTTTGAGGTGATCGTGTGTGAAGTGATTCTGCCTTTATGATGCCTGCAATCCAAAGAGCAACAGCAGCTGAGTTTGGCCTCCTTTTAAAATTCCCAGAATGCTCTGGGGGAAAAATGTGAGGTCAGTGACATTGGGGGAAATAAAAGGGATGGCTAGATCCGGTTGCCTAGCAGAAAAGGAAATTAAGGAGGTGTGCTTTGTGCTGTCATAGGCAATTTTCGCACATACAATAAAATATGCTAATTTATAATATTTTTTCACCATAACAGCTTGTGAACGAAAAAATGCTGAAGCTGTCCAAGTGTTATTGGAGTATAATGCTGACGTGAACCATCGCTGCACTCGGGGATGGACGGCTCTCCATGAAGCTGTTGCTCGAAATGATATAGAAATAGTAGAACTTTTAATCAAAGCAGGTGCTAAGATTGAAGCTGAAAATTGTTACGGAATCACCTCTTTATTCGTAGCAGCTGAGAGTGGTCACCTAGAGTCCTTGCGATACCTTGCAAAGTGCGGTAAGTAAAACTGCACAACTGAGATTTTAAGAAGATTGACAAACTCTATTTTAACCCCCCTTTTTTGCAGTTGTTTAACTCATGTTCCAGCCCTTACCTGTCATGTGGTTCTATCTTCAGGTTTTATGCCAACAATGTTAAGGGCAAATTCAGTAAGAAACTGAGAGTTTTGTTTTCTGAAGTTCAGTTATGGAGCCTGTTTAAAACAACGGTAGTAGAGGCCCAGAGGAAGTATATACCACAAAAAAGAGAGGCTCAACTAAGTCCAAGAGGGGGTCGGCATGGTTAACAAGCGGCGTTAGAGAGGTTTTAAAGGGCAAGGAGGGGTCCTTCCGTAAATGGAAATCCTTCCCGAATGAGGAAAATAAAAAGGAACACAAACTCTGTCAAAAGAAATGTAAGAAGATGATATGGAAAGCAAAGAAAGACTTTGAGGAACATATGGCCAGCAATATAAAGGGGAATAATAAAAGCGTATTTAAATACGTTAGAAGCAGGAAAACTACCAGAGAAGTGGTTGGCCCTCTGGATGGTGAGGGAGGGAAAGGGGGACTAGGAGATTGCAGAGAAATTAAATGAGTTCTTCACATGTGTCTTTACGACAGAAGACTTTGGGTAGGTTCTGCTGCCTGAACGGCCCCTCCTGACTAATGAATTAAATCAGATCCAGGTTAAAAGAGAGGATGTTTTAGATCTAATTGATAAATTGAAGATCAGTAAGTCACTGGGCCCAGATGGCATTCACTCAACGGATATTAAGGAATTGAGGAATGAAGTAGCTGATCTTTTAACTAAAATATACCACTTGTCCCTTAAAATGGCCACAGTGCCAGAGGACTGGAGGATAACACATGTCACACCAGTCTTTAAAAAGGGAAGGAGGGGGGACCAGAGAAACTACAGGCCAGTTAGCCTAATGTCTGTTCCAGGAAAGATGGTGGAAAGCCTAATCCAAGATAAAATCTTAAAACACATAGAAGAACAAGCCTTGCTAAGGGAAAATTAGCATGGCTTCTGTAAGGGTAAGTCTTGCCTCACAAACCTTTTAGAATTCTTTGAAAAGGTCAACAGGCATGTGGATGCGAGCAAACAAGTGGATATTGTCTATCTGGATTTTCAGAAGTCATTTGACAGAGTCCCTCAACAAAGGCTGCTAAGAAAACTCCACAGTCAGGGGGAAAGAAGGCAGGTTCTCTTATGGACTGAGAATTGGTTGAGAACCAGGAAACAGAGAGTAAGTGTCAATGGGCAATTTTCACAATGGAGAGAGGCCTTGGGATCTGTCCTGTGACCGGTGCTTTTCAACCTCTTCATAAATGACCTGGAGACAGGGATAAACAGTGAGGTGGTCAAGTTTGCAGATGACACAAACTTTTCTGGGTGGAGAAGACCAGAAGGGATTGTGAAGAGCTCCAGAAGGATCTCTCCAGACTGGGAGAAAGGGCGGCAAGATGGCAAATGTGTTATAAGAAAATGTAAAGAAATGCATACTGGGGCAAAAATTAAAAACTTTAGTTATCAGCTGATGGGTTGTGAGCTGTCTGTGATGGATCAGGAAAGAGATCTTGGTGTGCTGGTGATGAAAGTGGCAACCCAGTGTGCAGCAGGGTTCTTCTTATGTTCTTATGAAGAACATCATCAGAAACATCACAAGAGAAAAATCTACTAAAATGATCTAACTATTCAAGCCTTAAAAGACCCCCTGAGAACCTCTGTAAGAATTTAATTGCATTTTATACTGCAGAATGTTTGCCGTACAATAAAGATTCCTCTCTGTCATTAAGAATTAGCCCTTTTCTAGGCTTTGTAATTGTGTCCTCAGTTACAATTATATTAAAATTGCCAAGCACAAAGAAAGGTTTTTGTTGTTTGCAATGACAGCAGATTCCCTTCAGCAGAGACTTCTATAGCTAAGCTTATGCATGTTTGTTCGGAAGTGAGCTCCCCACTGTATAATGAACCTTTATTCCAAATTCAATGTGCACTGGTCTGTAGTCTTTGTGAACTATTAAAAAAGAACAGCCTGGCATGGTAAAATTTTATGGCATGGGACCTAGTGGATTCAAATGGGGTGGGTAACCTGTAGTTCTCATCTGATCCCTTGTGGCTCTAAACCTAATTTCAAATTCCTCTGATAACATTCATTTCCAGTCCTAGCCAACTGGTTAGGGAGGAAGAATGAAGGGATCCAGGAAGGGATAGAGAGAATGGGGTGATAGAAAGGAAAGGGAGGTGGCAGAAACAGAGAGATTAAGGCAGTGGGTTTGGCTATTGTTGGCTCTGGCCATTCATTGTTTTTAGTTTGCTTATGCATATCCTAGTAGTATTCTGGGGCATTAATATTCTAAAAGAGATATGCAACTCTGACCACAGTGGCATTAAAATTTACTGTAGGTGAAAAAATACTTCAGATATATAATAGTTCCTTCCTCATTACCTCCTTTTGACCAAACTCTGGGAGGGCCTGAGGGACATGGTGGCGCTGTGGGCTAAACCGCAGAAGCCTGTGCTGCAGGGTCAGAAGACCAAGCAGTCGTAAGATCGAATCCACGCGACGGAGTGAGCACCTGGAGATTCGACTTACAGACTTTTCGACTTGCAGCCACCATTCCAATACGGGTTAATTCCTTAAGTAGAGGGTCTACTGTAGCATTAAAATTTACTGTAGGTGAGGAAATACTTCAGATATATAATAGTTCCTTCCTCATTACCTCCTTTTGACCAAACTCTGGGAGGCAGTGGAAGACAGGAGGGCCTGGTGTGCTCTGGTCCATGAGATCATGAAGACTTAGGCATGACTTAATGACTAAACAACAACAACATTACGTCCTCCAAGCTGGAAGTGATACATTCAGAACTCTTGACAAAAATGAAGTGTTCTTTTTAAAGGGAGCATCAGAGAGAGAGAAAAGAATGGGATAGTACTCACTTTTGGTGTGACACCCATCTGCCATCTGGGTCCTGACAGATTCCTTCTTTCCTGCCTGCCTTTTTCTTTCTAGAACATGGAGTCCTCGCTTCTATTAACATATTAACATGATATTAAAAAATAAAATTTATTTTTAAGTTTAAATCATTAAGCTAAATAATAAAATTCCTTATGTTATCAGCATGTTAACATGCCCAGTTTGTTTGTTTGTTTACTTAGTTACTTATTAACTTACCACCCAATTAATAGTTTTAAACAAATCATAAATGTAAAATTACTACAAATCACTAAATTTGGCCCTAAATTGCCCACTTCTGGGAGTTTTTGTTCAAGAATATCTGGGGGAACTGAGACTGGGACCTGCTGTCAAGTTTTACATTGGTGTAAAGTTTACATTGGTGGTATTTAATTACTGAAATGATGGATGCTTAAAATTACCAAATTTGTAACCCACTAGGTATAATGAATTTAAAAGTCATTATTTCCAAGCTCTATGTATTTCTCTTGTCCCCACATGACAAAAGATGACCCCACAAGGGAATATGACATTTTCATTAGTTCCACTAGTTAAAGTGATGAAATACCCACTACATACAGGAATTCTGTGTGTCCACTGAAATTCATCTCTTGTGTGGGTTGTGCCAGTTCACTAAAATAGAACTAAATCTTGCTGTCCTCCTTGTTTCAGAAACTTCTGCTACAGAGACACATAAGTCAATGCCGGATTTCTGAAGTTAAAATGTGCCTTTGTATGTCTTTTATTGCCAGGTGCTGAAATCAATACACAGGCTGGTGACAAAGCTTCTGCCCTCTATGAAGCTTCTAAAAATGGCCATGAGGAGATTGTGGAGTTTCTTTTGTCCCAAGGGGCTGATGCTAACAAAACCAATAAGGACGGGTTTTTACCTATGCACATGGCTGCCAAAAAAGGCCACTATGAGTAAGTAATCATAGGACAGTACAGTTAAAAAGTATCTTATGATAAACTTAAACTCTGCTAAATATATGGATCTTGCAACTAGACTAGAGCACCTTGACAGATGACCATCAATCCTTTGTTTAGATACTACCAGTAAAGGAGTAGATATATTAATAGTGAGTTGCTCCTAGTAACTGTACTGGCTGTCTTGCAAGTTACAATGCAGTTTAATAATTGCATGCTGCCAAGTTGATTCCTACTGAAACATAATTGTCATTATATCATTGTGTCCTCTCCACCTCAGAAACAAGCAAAAAAAATATAGAATTTTATTTTCCAACATTTTTTGTTGTTGTTATGTGCTATCAAGTCATAACCAACTTATAGTGACCTTAATAGGGCTTTCAAAGTAAATGAGAAATTTAAAGAGTGGTTTTAACAGTTCCATGCCCCCAGTGAGTTCCCATGGCTGAGCAGGGATTTGAACCCAGGTCTCCTTAGTCCACCACACTATCCACTAGATCACACTTGACAACCTGCAGCCCTCTCCTGATCTCCTGTGGCATGAGATCAGGATTAAGACGAAGCTTTTAAAAACTGATATTCAAACATCAACAATTTGTTTAAAAGTTGTGAAAGAGAAGTGTTACAAAAGCTTGCCATCTGTAGTGGTTTTGACAAACTATTTGTCCAAATGACAAACTGTGACCCATATAGTCAGTTATTTTAACCCCTTTGGTATTTCAAATAATGACACTTTTTATGGTGACTTCTCTATAAGCATGTGGATTTCATACATAATTCTGCAGGAATCCCATGTTCAGACTCACTGCAGGCACAAGAATGCTCCATGACATTAAAAAAAGTCATGAAGATGACTTCTGTTATTTTCTCTTCTTGTTTCTTGATGTTTGTTTAGAGTACACTATGCTCCCACTTTGTTTGAAAGGCCTGTGTCAATACTGTATCCCTTGTTCTCAGCAAAATATTTCTTAATCCTCAGTATTTGTAGCTGTGAAGTGGCTTGAATTTCATTCCTTCGGTAATTTATTTCTGATCGTATTAAGAACATTGTAAAACAGGAACCCCATTTGCACTAGTATAAATAATACTACAAAACCACGATTTCATGATGAAAATGGGAGAAGAATGCCAACAGACAGACACACTATACACACAACTTACAATTATAATTCACCATAATTGTAAGTTGAAAGCTAAAGGGGTAAATACATAGACAAATAGCTAGAAGAAAAAGAAGAAGAAGAAAGATGAGCTTGTATTGGAATATGAATAGATAATATGTTTATATACTTAATATGAAAAGGTTGAATGATTATATATTTGATGTTCTCTTATACTCAAAACCCCTTTTTCCACCCTTTCCATGCCCTTTACCTTCTGTATCCCTTCCCCATCTCAAAATAGTTTTGAAAATAAATAAATAAATAAATAAATAAATAAATAACAGACAGACAGACACACGAAGAACTGAGTAAAAGGAGGAACCAAGAAGTCATCAAACTAAATTCAACATTATTCCCACCTAAAGTAGACCCATCAAAATGAACAGAAATTACATCGTATGTGACTAAAAACTACCATCCATTTCAATGGTTCTACAGCAGTTGGCTAATGTTGGATTTAAAGCATAGATAGATAGCACTTCCATGATCTGATGCATATGGAATGTACTGTCCAAACAGTAGTTCATCATAACTGCAAACCAGTAGTACTAAACTCATGCTAGGAAAATATATTGTAGCATAGCAAGTCATGAAGTATAAGGGTGGCAGACATTTCAGATGATCCACGGGCCATATCCACAGTGCGTTATACTTTGGAAAAAATAGCAGCCTGGCTGTTTTCAGCGTGGATCTATATATTAGTCCTTAATACATAGGGAGGTATTATAATTTTCTGGGATATAAATATCCTCTCATCCTTGCACATAAGGAAGAGGAATCACCAAATTATTCCTGCCCTGCAAGAGAGAGAAGTGTTTTGTGGTATGTTGAAAAAGGAAATAAGAAATTCTAGTGTATATTGAACAAAACTGCATAAATAATACTTTAATGCAAACAACACAGCACACACAAAATGCTGTTGGTGCAAGGTGCATTATTGCATGCATGGTTTTTGAAGGATTAGAACCACGATAAAGCAAACTATGCTGCTTATTTACTGCCCCATAGCACTTAAAGCAGTCTCTGGGGGGTTTACAATTTAATTAGGCAGGCTACACATTGCCACCATCCCACCCCCACCCGTGCAAGCTGGGTACTCAGTTTACTGGCCTCAGAAGGATGGAAGGCTGAATGAACCTTGAGCTGGCTATCTGGGATTGAACCCGGGTCATGAGCAGAATTCTGGCTGCAGTACATAGTGCATGTTTACATTTTTTTTAAAAAAAGTGAATGGTTTTGTCCTTGCTGTGTAGGTGTGGTTTGTTTTTCAAAGAAAAATGACACAAATTTTGAAGAGACAGTGTTTCCACAAATTAGAGAGACCTTGTTAAGGGAAAACAGCACTTCTTGTCTCACTCTGTCCTGGATGCAAGGAATTGTAAAGCTTGAAATTTTGCCATCAAGGTGACAAATTGACTAAAATGAAGAACTGAGCAATTATTCTTTATATCCATCAGCCATACTAAAATAATGTAGACATCTAATTAACGTTGCATTGTCTCATTAACATAGCTTCAGCTCTGCTTGAGCAAAGAACCATCTCAACCCATGTATTTTAATAAACTCAAGTAAACTGCAGAAGCATGACTAATGCTGGTGCTTGGCGTGCTCCCTCTTGTAGCTCTCTGTGTGATTTTTCAGTTATTATGGCTATTACAAAGCATTTGTTAGTGGTGGATAGTTGCCAGCTAAAGAGGACCCAGGCTTCTTGCCTTCCAGGGAGCATCATTGCTGGGTGAGGTCAGCCTCTCTGCTTTGAGAAATGATCTGTGCGTGAATTTCCTCTGGATGCTTTGATTATTTCTTTCTGATGTGGACATAATGTCTTGAGAGCATGAAGAATGGCAAACAAGCTGGTAGCTGATTTTTCCATTGACGATCCTGCTCCAGCTGCTCAGGCGAGCAATGAAGAACCCTGAGCCATTCAAAGTTCTGTTCTGCAACTCCCGTCAGTTTCATCTACCTTGGCCAGTGAGAAAGCCGTTGTGACATTTGTAGGCCAAAGATCTTGAATTAATTTGTTCTTTTACTTGACCCCCTTATATTGATCTATTGCATGCAACAGGCCTGTCCCAAACTGAGCTGTCCATGAATGTTTTGGATAAAAGCATTCACCATTACTCTCTCCCTGTCCTGTTCTTGCTTTTTAGATCTATCTCTGCGGACTAGGTTTTCTAGGTGTAAGGTATTGGAATCTCAATTGTGGGGTTCCACAGGGGTCGATCATCTCCCCAATGCTGTTTAACATCTATATGAGGCCGCTGGGTGGGGTCATCAGGGGGTGTGGAGCCCGGTGTCATCAGTATGCCGATGATACTCAGCTCTACATCTCCTTTCCACCTACCGCAGGAGAAGCCATTCTGTCCCTTCAGCGCTGCCTGGAGGCTGTACTGCAATGGATGCAGGAGAACGGGCTGAGGCTGAACCCGGACAAGACGGAGGTGCTAAGGGTGGGTGCCCCCACAGCCGGGAGTTTGGGAAACTCCCTCTCTTTTGGGGGGGTGACCCTCCCTGCAAAGGATGGGGTACGCAGCTTGGGGATCCATCTTGACCCGGCACTCACTATGGAATCCCAGGTGGCGTCGGTGGTCCGAACCGCCTTCTACCATCTCAGGCAGGTAGCCCAGCTGTGGCCCTATCTCGATGTTGGGGCGCTCACCACTTTGGTGCATGCACTCATAATCTCATGATTAGACTACTATAATGCGCTCTACGTGGGGCTGCCTTTGAGCCTGCTGCGGAAACTACAGGTGGTGCAGAATGCGGCGGCCAGACTTCTCAGTGGAGTGAGAAAATTCCAATACATTTCACCCACTCTGGCCGCACTGCATTGGCTGCCCATCCGATTCCGCATCGACTTCAAAGTGTTGATGCTTACGTATAAAACCCTAAACGGTTTAGGGCCTTGATATTTGGCGGAACGCCTTCTACCACCAAGATCTACCCGTGTCACTCGCGCGAGCCAGGAGGTGAGGCTGAGGAGCCTAACGCCGAGGGAGGCCCGGAAAGAAAAGACAAGAAATCGGGCCTTCTCGGTGGTGGCTCCTCGCCTCTGGAATAACCTTCCCCCTGATATTCGCGTGGCCCCCCCGCTGGATATTTTCAAAAAGCAACTAAAAACACTGATGTTTCGGCAGGCAGGCCTTCCCCCCCCCTAGTTAATTCCTTACTCCTCTTTCCTTCTCTTTCTTAGTGTTTTATCCAATTGCTGAAAGTTTTCCACTTTGTATAATGGTTTTTATTGTTGTTGTTCTCTTTGTTGTGAGCCGCGTAGAGTGGTCTATCGACTAGATAGGTGGGATATAAAATAAATAAATAAATAAATAAAAATACTCCAAAGTTGTGTACTAGTCCTTCCCTCCAGTAGTACTCTAGGACAGAGATGGTGAACCTTTTTGAGTCCAAGTGCCCAAACCATCAACTTATTTACTTTGAAGTGCCAGCACTGCAATTAAAACCCAAATACTGAGGTTTTAGTTTAGAAAAAACAACTGTTCCTACACTGCAAGGGTCAAACACTTGTGATTTTTCCCCCTATGGGCGGTATTACCAAAGAAATACTTACCGGTCCTCCAATCCCCCATTGGACTAGACCGGTAATGGTCGCCATTGCACCTCTCCACTGGACCACTGCACCAGCAGAGGGGAGTGCCAAAATCTGGGATCGGACGACATTGAGTATTTCTCAATGGTGACTTATGGCTCGGGTGCCCACAGAGAGGGCTGTGTGTGCCAGCTGTGGCACGCATACCATAGGTTCGCCATCACTGATCTAGACAATTGGAATAAATAAAATATTGCCTCTGATATTAGTAGTAGTATATACGCATCATGACTAATAACCAGAAATAGTCTTATCCCCTATTAATTAATACAATCCCCATTTAAAGCTAAATTGACAGTCACTGTCACATCCTACAAAAGCAAATTGCAACAGAGGAAGCAAATGTATGAAGAACTGCTTATTTTTGCCTGTCCTGAATCTCTCACCCACCATTCAACTTCATTGGATGACCCCTTCTCAAGACTGGGGTTTCCTCACCCCTGCCATTCACTGGTCAGCGATTGATTCTCACCTTGTATCTTCTGTTGTCTTTACTATGTACATGTGTTGCCATTCCTCCAATATTCTCAATATAGTATGTATAGGACTGTCCTATTTTTATGTCCACAACTACTGTATCAGATAAACTGAGGGACAGTCATTGGCCCAGTGTCATCCAGTGAACTTCAAGACTGAGTGTGCAGTTTGGAATATAATCTGACTCAACAAAGAGTGTTGTGATACCTTCAAAGCTAACCTCTTCTGTGTAACTTAACTCAGACACTTTATCTGAACTCTACTTGCTACCTCAGCTTTCTGCTTCATGATAAATCAGTGTGACAGAAAGACACACTCCACGTGCATTCTAAGGGCAAGGATAGCTCATTGCCTTCAAGACTCAGAAAATAAATAATTTATATACAGCCTTAGTGATCAAGGTCATTACTTGTCCCAAGTCTGTTGTGGTCATCTGCTGTTATAAAAAGCTTGAGTGCTGAGTATTTTGTTGTTGTAATATGTATGCATTGCAGTGGTGTAAAGGAGTGGAAATGATAATCTTGCTAGGTAAGTAAGGTTCATAATTTCTTTTATTTTTCCCCCCTTTTCTTTTCCGGTAGAATTGTGAAAATGCTGCTTCCAGTAACCAGCCGCACTCGAATTAAGCGCAGTGGCATCAGTCCTCTGCATTTGGCCGCAGAAAATAACCGCGATGATGTCTTAGAAGACCTAATTGAGGCTGGGTTTGATGTGAATGCCACTCTATCTGATGAACGTGCTCGACTTTACGAGGACAGGCGCACAAGTGTCCTCTACTTTGCTGTTGCTAACAACAATATTTATGCTACTGAGCTCCTGCTTGAGGCTGGGGCCAACCCCAATGTTGACTTCATCAACCCATTGCTCATCTCTATCCGCCAAGGCTGCTTGAGAACAATGAAGCTACTTCTCAATTACGGAGCCAACATTGACGCTTACATTGCTTCCCACCCAACTTCTTTCCCTGCTACTATCATGTTCTCCATGAAGTACCTTCCTGTCCTGAAGTTTCTGTTAGATCTAGGTTGTGATGCCAATTCCTGTTTTAACTGTCTGTATGGGAGTGGCCCGCATCCTCCTTTAGATACTAGGAGGGACAGATATTATGATACCCAAGTGAATAGAGAGCGAAGCATTGTGCAGGTAAGTCTGGTTCCTCGTTTCTATGGCATTTGGAGGAATGTGTGGGGAGAGGCTGTTATCAGAGGTGGGAAATTTGGTTAGTTTCTTTCATCTCAGTATGAAGAAATATGTGAATTTTGTTTAATTCTTGTAAAAATGAAAGCAAATGAAAATTTATGCCATGTGCACCAGTCAAGTTTCAGTAGAGTGCAGCTTTCCAGCATTGGGAAGGCCATGTTCTACTTGTTTCTCACATACATATTGTTGTTGTGTGCTGTCAAGTTACCTCTAACCTATGGTGAATGAACACTCTTTAAAATGTCCTGTCCTCAACAGTCCTGCTCAACTCTTCTAATCTCAAGCCTGTGGCTTCCTGTAGGGAGTCTGTCAATCTCATATTTTTATTGTTCCTCTTTAGTTGTTAAGTCGTGTCCGACTCTTCATGACCCCATGGACCAGAGCATGCCAGGCCCTCCTGTCTTCCAGTGCCTCCCGGAGTTGGGTCAAATTCATGTTGGTAGCTTCAATGACACTGTCCAACCATCTTGTCCTCTGTCGTCCCCTTCTCCTCTTCCCTTTACACTTTCCCAACATCAGGTTCTTTTCCAGGGAGTCTTCTCTTCTCATGAGATGGCCAAAGTATTGGAGCCTCACCTTCAGGATCTGTCTTTACAGTGAGCACTCAGAGTTGATTTCCTTTAGAACAGATAGGTTTGTTCTCTTTGCAGTCCAGGGCACTCTCAAGAGTCTCTTCCAGCACCACAATTCAAAAGCATCAATTCTTTGTCGGTCAGCCTTCTTTATGGTCCAGCTCTCACTTCCATACATCGCTACTGGAAAAACCATAGCATTTA